AGCATGGCATGAGTCTTATCAGAGTTGAGAACAAGTCCATTCTCGCTTGCCCACTGTACAACATAATTGATATCAATTTGTATCTTTTTTAACAAGTCTGGGAGAGACGACAATGGACCAGATAAATAAAACTTGAAATCATAGGCATACTTATGATATTTACAATATTTTAAACCATTTCCCAAGTCTGAGATAAACAAATTAAAAAGCAACGATGAGAGTAAAGCACCCTGTGGGACACCGCATTTAACATTGTCCCACTCAGAGAAGTTACCACACCCATCAACCACCCTCTGAAATCTAAAACTTAGATAAGACTCGAACCATTTACAGACTGATTTAGATAATTTAAAGGAATACAACTTATTAATTAGCAAACTATGATTCACAGAAGGAAATGCCTTTGAAAAATCAAAAAACACTACGACTGTGACCTGTTTTGAGTCCATAGCGAGTTTAATATCAGTTAAGAATTTTAATGAAGCAGTACATGTACTGTGTTTAGAGCGAAAGCCCGATTGCAGAGGCTCTAATAAATCATTGGATGTTAAAAACTCTGTTAACTGCTTGCATACTATTTTTTCAAAAGGCTTAGACATAGTACATACCAAGGAAATAGGTCTATAGTCAGTTAGTGATTTTGAACTTTGAACTTTAGGTATAGGACGAACATCACTCATTTTTCATATATCTGGAAATATTCCTGTTTGAAGGGAATAATTGTATATATGTATCAGAACAGGAAAGATGACTGGAAGAGTCAACCTAATCATCTCAACAGATATACTTTAAATTGTATATCTTTAAATTGTAATAAAAATAATTGAAATCCTGTAAAGAATTTTATTATTTGGGACAAAATTCCTCAACTGTTCCCACCTAAAAAAAAAGTTTGGTATCGGGTTGATACTTTCCCAAATGGTAGTCCTGATAGACCTACACTTAATTACTAAACGATGGGACCTTACAGGAATGCGTTTCTAAGTTTCAGGAGCTCGAATTTTTTACTTTCATGCTTTATCATTAAACTTCGTTTATAAATAACTTTTATAAATTTAATCCAATTGAACTTTTATTATATATTTTTGAAAAGGTTTTTTCCTCAACTTTAAGAATATGTTACGTCCCAAAAATAATTTTATGGTTCGTAATGATACTTTTATTTAATTTTATTTATTTTAAGCCTAGACTTGCGTCCAATAGCTTGGGAATACTTTCAAATTATTATTTCTCTTATTTGATTTAATTAATGAAGAAACGACAAGAATTTTAATAGAAACGATTCCATACATTCACATAAGACGTATGGAATTTTGTAAAATAAAACTTTAAAGATGAATTTCAGTGAAAACTGGAACTAGAAGCAGAGATGAAGTTGTAGATGTTGACTTGTTATTCTTTTTATAATTTTTAAATTAAAATTTGAAATAAAACTTGAACTTAAAAATAGGACTTGAAAATAGAACTTGAAAATAGAACTTGAAAATAGAACTTGAAAATAGAACTTGAAAATAGAACTTGATATAGAACTTGAAAATAGAACTTAAAATTTGAATATTCTTTGAGAACTCTTATTTGAGTTGATAGCTTTTCGAGCTCTGAATTTTCCTTAAGGAACACGTATATTTATGTAACAGTTCCCACTTCTGATTTTCTCAAGGGAGGAAAATTCGGGGATGAAAATATTGTAGAAAGGGAAAAAGAGGTTGGTTAATTTTGGATTGGTTTAAGAAAAAGAAAATGGAGAGAAAATGCATTAAGAAATGGGCCTGATAGGCGAATTTTGGGTCCGTCCCATTTTTATCAGTTTTAAGCGTAGGAGGATCTTTGAAAAGGGGCTCAGTCTTATCGTTCCTCAACTTCATCTCCCTTCCAACTCCAATTTCTAGAATTTACAGAAATAGCATTTTTTCTTAATTTTAACATATTTCTAAATTTAAAATATTCAAGATAATAATAAACGGTTGTTTATAATAATTATTTTAACAATTGCAATTATTATTATTAACAATTATGAAATTATTAATTATTTAGTTAAAACAAACAATTCGATGAAATTTACGTTATTAAATAATTATCAAATCAATTTGTTAATTAATACAATGTTTAAATATTAATTGTCAATAATTTGTTTAAACATTCATAATTACACAGTGCAACACATAAAATGTGCACTAAGTTTTGACTTCAGTTTCTGAAAGTACTTATCGAAACTAGCAAAAACCTATTTCAGTTTTGCTAGATTAGCTCGGATTTAAATTTTATCGACATTTGAATTTTTTTTTTTGAATTTTCACATTTTTCAGTTTTCTGATACGGGCTGATGGGAACACTGGCTATAAAAAGTTTATTAAAAAAATTCGCAATGGTCAAAATTTGAAAAGCAATAATCCCTCTTTAATTAGAGAGAAAGAAAAAAAAATTTGGTCGAAAATTGTTCCAGTTACGAATTTTTTTTGGCTTTTTTACATTTTTTGGTTTTATGAAACGGGCGTGTGAGAAAGCTGGCTATTAAAAGATTATATTAAAAAATTCGCTGTGGTAATCATTTGAAGAGCAATAATTCCTCTTTAATTTCTGACTTTGAAAAAAAAAATTTGGTAAAAAATTGTTCGAGTTATGAATTTTTTTGACTTTTTTACATTTTTCGGCTTTTTGATAAAGCGGGTGGAAACGCTGGCTATTAAAAGTTTATAAAAAAAATTTGCAATGGTCACCATTTGAAGAGCAGTAATTCCTCCCTAGTTTCTGCCATTGAAAAAAAAATTTGGTCAAAAATTGTTCGAGTTATGAATTTTTTTCGTACTTTTTCAAATTTTTTTTGTTTTTGATCTGGGCGGGTGAGAACGCTGGCTATAAGAAATGAATTAAAAAAATTCACAACGGTCAAATTTTAAAATGCAATAATCCTTCTTTAATTTCTGATAAAAGAAAAAAAATTGGTAGAAAATTATTCGTGTTATTTATTTATTTCTGTACATTTGTATACCCGAGGTCCTGTGCAACCGAGGGTTTTGATTTTTTTTTTTACTTTTTTCGAAACCAAATATTTCGAATCAAATATTTTATCTTGGGCAGAAATTAAATAGGGATTATTGCTCTTTAAATTGTGCCCATTACGCATTCTTTTTATAAATTTTTAATATTCAGTATTCCCACTTCCGTTATCAGAAAACCGAAAATTAAAAAAAAGTAAAAAAAATTCATAACTTGAACAATTTTTGACCATATTTTTTTTCTTAGGCAGAAATTAAAAACGGATTAATGCTCTTCAAATTGTGATCATTCGAAATTTTTTTATAAATTTTTAATAGCCTGCGTTCCCACCCACCTAATCAAAAAATTGAAAAATGTAAAAAAGTCAAAAAAAAATTAATAAGTGGAACAATTTTTGACCAAATTTTGTTTTCTTTGTCAGAAATTAAAGAGGAAGTATTGCTCTCCAAAATGTGACCATTGCGTTTTTAAAAAAGAAAAATTTAATAACCAGCGTTCTCACCCGCCCGGATCAAAAACAAAAAAAATTTGAAAAAGTACGAAAAAAATTCATAACTCGAACAATTTTCGACCAAATTTTTTTTTCAATGTCAGAAATTAGGTTGGAATTACTGCTCTTCAAATGGTAACCATTGCGAATTTTTTTTATAAACTTCTAATAGCCAGCGTTTCCACCCGCTTTATCAAAAAACCGAAAAATTTGAAAAATTACAAAAAAAAATTCATAACTCAAATAATTTTCGACCAAATTTTTTTTTCAATTTCAGAAATTAAAGAGGAATTATTGCTCTTCAAATGGTGACCACCTCAAAAATTTTTTTAATAATCTTTTAATATCCAGCTTTCTCACCCGCCCTTTTCATAAAACCAAAAAATGTAAAAAAGCCAAAAAAAAATTCGTAACTGGAACAATTTTCGACCAAATTTTTTTTCTTTCTCTGTAATTAAAGAGAGATTATTGCTTTTCAAATTGTGACCATTGCGAATTTTTTTAATAAACTTTTAATAGCCAGTGTTCCCATCCGCCCGTATCAGAAAACTGAAAAATGTAAACATTCAAAAAAAAATTCAAATGTCGATAAAATTCAAATCCGAGCTAATCTAGCAAAACTGAAATAGTTTTTTGCTAGTTTTGATAAGTACTTTCATAAACTGAAGTCAAAACTTAGTGCACATTCGATGACCTCAAAAATGTTGCACTGTGTTATTAAAGATAACAACAATAAAATCAATGATTTCAATAATTATTTGTTTTGTGACAGATATTATTTAATAAACAATTAAACTGCATCAACTGCACAATTCATTTCAAATAACAAAATAACCTCAGGGGAAATTCCGCCCCGGAACCAAACCGACGGATGCGACGACGGCGAGACAGAACGACAGGCTTTCAAAAATTAACTTGGACTTACCAAAATCAAACGACGGCAGCAATAATGAGACGACACAAAACACAACAAATAATAATAATTAAACTTGTAATTAACTAATACTCTAAATTTATTAATCGGTATTTACACTTGGAACTTAACGATTTTGACTAAAAGGCAATTAATTATCAATTGACGCGAATATTACTTTGATTCAACTTGTATCAACTCTCATGACAAAAACTAATATGATAATGATGCCGGCCGGCTTCCTCTCGCGACGCTCCCTCGAAGATCCAACAGACGAACTCCTAAACCGCTTCACCCATTGGACGCTGGAACCACCGCACAAAACGAAACCCAAAACCTCCGGCCCAATCACGAAAGACCCGCGAATATTCAAAATGAATATTAAACTTAAATAACCAAAAGGGAAAATCATAACGAAATGCTTCGTTACAATCCCCTCTCCTAGGCCAACAATAATCCAAAAATTGTTGCCGATTAAACCCAAAATTAACAAAAGAAAAACTACCAATTAAAGATAAGAAAATAAATGTATTTATTCAAATGAAAAACCAAAATAATAATAAAAACCAAAAATAATCCTTTTTTTTACTGGGGCCCCCATTCTATGGGAAACCTCTTCGTTGACGATCCTGCCAAAAGGCAGTGCGAGCCGCAATCGCCAATTCCTGCGGGAGGCCAACCAAAGATGCCTCCAGCAACCTTAAATCGTCCATTAACCCAGTGGCCGAAGGCACTGGATCCGGAACCACCACATCAGCCAATAGCTCAGCCGCTGAGCCATCCAATGGCAACCTTTCAGCCATCGGAACTGAAGCAAGTTGCCCCGATCCATCAACCTCAGCCTGTACGACCACCGAGGCCACTTTTTTATGAAAGACGGCTCCCTTATTGCCGCCCCTAGTCCCCTGATCTCTTCTTCCTGACTCCGATTGGTCAGATTTCTCCAACGACATCGCTGACCCCGAACGCTTCATCCACAAGCGGTAGGCTCGTGCACAGCGTGGGCAAACCTCCATAGTGACCCCATATCGGCCACAATTTCGGCAGAAAATGTCGATTGACTCCGGACAATAAGCCAACTTATGGGACATACTCCAGCAATTGAAGCATGCCCCCATAGGAGGATCCAACTCCGGATCCGTCGGGATGCGGTCCAAACGACAGAAAATCCGTCCCACAGTCAACACAGGCCGTGCGAGCCTAGCCTCCTCCCTGAATCGGTCCGCTGGACGAGGAACCACCATTACATTTGGCTCCCGTGGTCGGACCTGAACCTCTGGTTCCTCACGACCACAAGCCTTATGTTTCTTAACTCCCTCGTTGACCAAAACAGGATCATCCTCCTGGTCCATCACGATTGAGTCCAATTCCTCAACAGCGTACTGGCTCTCCAAAAACTCACGACTTTCCGCTGAACAAACTCCACGATCCACACCTGTGCCGGGGCGAGCTGCACAAGCTTGCTCCTCATCCTGCCAGGCGAAAGAAATTCCGCGACCCACAGAACGAACACCAGCTGGAGGCAAGGACACATCGGACTCCGAGGAACTAGAAACCTCATGGCTTCTCACCACCCGTCTAATGGCACCTCCTGATGCCTGACCAGAGCCTGAAGGGAGTTTGCTGCGCCACATATCGCCCATGATAACGATGATCCTTGAAGAATTAAACTTGGCTCGAACAAATCTAAAACATAGAACAAATAAGTAACACATTCAAAATTATTGCCGAGAACGTGGAGGTATAAAACGTTTGAGATCGGACACATGAACCTTAGCCACACGGCGGTTATTACCCGAACCCAATTCATAAACCGACGGAGACAATTGCCTAACAATTTCATAGGGACCCTCAAATTTAGGAGCCAACTTTGCCGAAAACCTATTTGCCGCATTCGACAACTTATGAGTTCTCCATAAAACCTGATCCCCCACATGAAAAGTAGCCTCTCGTTTATTACGGTTATAATAACGACTCTGTTTTTCACGTTTCTCGTCAATAAACCTTGCAACCAAATCTCTCAGCGCGTCCAACCTACGCAACCTATCGCACCAAACCTCTGGATCAATCCTCTGAACCGTAACCTTACTTTCAACTTCTCTCCTCAAACTCTTAACTGGTTGAGGCTGACGACCATAATTCAAAAAGGCCGGTGAAACCTTTGTCGAAGACTGCACGGCCGTATTGACCGCATGTCGGAACTCATGGACATGTTTGTCCCAATTCCGATGATCCTCGCCTACAAAAGTCGCAATCATCGTTTTCAAAGTACGGTTACTTCGTTCGACCGGGTTAGCCTGGGGGTGGTATGGCGGCGTTGTTAAATGCCTGACACCATAGTCCTCCAAAACGGATTTGAGGTGTTGGTTGTCGAACTCCTTTCCGTTATCCGTTAACAGAAAGTGAGGAGTGTCCCACCTGAACACTACCAATTCCTCAAATGCCTTCGCAATGGATTTGCCATCAGCCGACCTGATCGGTTTAACCTCAATCCAGCGTGTAAACAAATCCTGGAAAACAACCAAATGCTTACACTGATTCTTGCTGGATGGAAACTCCATACAGTCCGCTGCAACCACCGTCCACGGTTGTTCCACAATCCTTTGACCCATTAACCCTTGAGGTCCTTCCTGCGAAACCTTAAACCTTTGACAATCAGGACACTCGCGAACAAACCTCTGGACATCATGCCAAATGCCTGGCCAGTAATATTCTGCAGCCACCCTAGCATATGTCTTCTCTATTCCCAAATGACCTGCTGCAATTTCAGAATGAGCATCCCTGAGTATCCTACTCCGATGCTCCTCTGGGACAACCAACTTCCAACCCTGTTCTTCGCCCGTGATTGGTAACAATAATGGATCGTTCCTATGACGATACAACAAATTGTTTTCCACCAACCAACCTGGAAAACGTTGAGGAAACTCCTCAACCAATTGTTTCCTCTTGATGTACCACGGGTCATCAATGGTGCTGAAAGCCGACATCTCGTCCGTGTTATCCTCGTACATACGCGACAATGCGTCCGGTACGTGATGATTAACACCGCGACGATGAACAATGTCGAAATCCCATTGTTGCATCTCGAGTGCCCAACGAGCCAAACGACCAGACGGATCCTTAAGATTCCTGAGCCACCTCAGTGCACTATGATCCGTGATAGCCTTAAACCGATATCCCTCTAGATATGGCCTGAATTTTTTAATGGCCCATAATAATGCCAAACACTCACGCTCAGTGACACTATAATTCTTTTCTGCCCCTGTCAAAGCCTTACTTGCGTACACAATTGGGTGTTCGCCATCCTCAGACTCCTGAGTCAACACCGCGCCAATCGCTGAGTCGCTAGCGTCACATTGGACAGTGAACGGCTTGCCAAAATCCGGCCGAGCCAAAACCGGGGCCGATACCAACTTTTTCTTTAAAGTTTGGAAAGCCTCCTCATGCTCAGCTGTCCATTCCCAAGCTCTTCCTTTTTGAAGAAGCCTCAAAAGTGGTACCTTGATCTCGCTATCATTCTCTATGAAACGAGAATACCACCCAACCATTCCCAAGAAACGCCGAAGCTGTTTAATATCCTGGGGTGCAGGGTATTCTAACACCGGTGCCACCTTCTCGGAATCAGGCCTCAAACCATCCCTATCCAAAACATAACCCAAGTAAGTTACCCGAGAGCAACCAAATTCACATTTGTCTGGGTTTACCACCAAACCAGCAGACGCCAATCTCTTTAAAACTATCCTCAACCATCTGATATGCTCGTCGTAATCATCGGTGACAATTATGATATCATCGAGATACCCAAAAACGACAGGTTCAAATTCTGGACCAAACAACGAGTCCACAAACCTTTGAAACGTGCCGGGGGCGTTTGTTAACCCAAAAGGCATTCTCTTAAACTGAAAGAGACCCAAACCTGGAACCGAAAAAGCCGTGTACTTTTTACTTTCCGCCGACATCGGTACCTGATGGTACGCCATTTTGAGATCGATTTTGGAGATATAACGAGCCTTCCTCAGTTTATCCAAAATAAAATCGATACTCGGTATCGGGTAAACGTCCCTAATTGTCACCTTATTGAGGTCTCTATAGTCAAAACATAACCTGAGTGTCCCATCACTCTTTTTGACTATAACCGGCGCAGTGCTCCAATCACTGGACGCTGGTTCGATAATTCCTTGATCCCATAATTTCTGAACCTCCTTGATCAACCACTGCATGATCATTGGAGACATTCTCCTCGGCCGATGCTTAATCGGCGAGTGATCAGTCAACCTAATGTGGTGCTCCGTCAACGACGTCACCCCATGTTCCTGACCTTGAGGAAGGACCAATTCATTAACCAAACTTTGAACCTCATTTCTCTGATCAACTGTAAGCTCCGAAATACCTGCACATTCCGCGAAAATACCCTCAGAGTTAATTTCTCCACTATCGGACGCAAACTTATGCCATTCTTGGCCATTAATCCTCCAGAGACCTTTCCTAAGCTGGACATCCATATCCATTTCCCTACAGAAATCCATTCCCAAAATTAAGTCCTGGGTTAAAGTACTAAGGGCTTTCAGCTCGAAAGACTGCGCATATCCATCGACTGTCAACCATAACCTTAATTTCCCTAAAGTTTGAGTGGATCCCCCAATGGCACTTTGGATTGCCGTATCCGCTTGTTCCAATCTTTCTCTAAACTTTTCAGCCAATTTGGGACCAATAACCGAAACCATTGCCCCTGGATCGAACAATGCATAATATGGACGATCCGCAATGATTACCTTTAAAAAGTACCTATTTTCAAGCCTAGTCCCATCGACAATCTCGTTTGAATCCGGAGAACCTACTGCATCCGATGCAGTTTCTCCCCTCTCCTGGACTTTACGTGTTGAACCCTTTTCAACACTATTAGTCCCACTAATACCAGGGGCCTCACTAAGATTTTTCGCAGAAACCACAGCTTTATCTAAGCCCACAGAGAATGAGTACTCCTCATTCATTTGACCAAAGTCACTACTCTCGTTTTCGGTAACCACTATTGGCGAGCCATTTGTTCCACCAGAAACGTCCCAAGTCCCGCGACGACCTGAGCATGGTTCAAGCCTAGCCCTACCGAATGTGCCCAAATTCACGCTGACACAATTTCTAACTTTTGAGAGTGAGTTCTCCTCACTCGCAACACACAAATTCCCAATATTTGAGAGTGAGTTCTCCTCACTCGACACACACAAATTCTCAACATTTGAGAGTGAGTTCTCCTCACTCGACAAACACAAATTTTCAAAAATTGCAGGTGAGTCCTCCTCACCAACAATACACACTTGAGATGGATTCGAGAGTGAGTTCTCCTCACTCGGCAACGAATAATCCATCTCTTGAACACGCAAAAATACTTCATTACTATTAACAGGGACCTCTAACCCTGTCCCTACTGTTTGGATTGGGGGGGGAAGAAGTTGGATTGTCCCCCCCCTTTCGCGTTTTCCAAATATCTTCGGAACTCGACGCACCTTGGACACTGAGCAAAAACTGCTCCCTTAGCCCCACAAACCTGACACGAAACCTCAACCTGAGCTTGCTGTCTGCTAGGGCATTCTGTAGCAAAATGACCCTGTTGTTGGCAGCTAAAACAAACCCGATAAGGACACTGGGATAAACGGTGTCCTACAACCTGACAACCATTGCAAATACCCATAAAAGGAACCTGACCATTACCCTGGTTTTCTATACCCGGTTTAGGCCTACCTTGTTGGGGTAATGCACCAGCCACTTGGCCGCTCGGTGCGTTAGGTGGGGCCCTTGCACCCCCACTTTGCGAATAAATTATAGGTTGTGCCGGCCCCGGAGCTACCTGCATTGGCTTGGGCCACCCCTTATTTGGTTGACCCCCTGCAGCTCCCCTAGGCCGACCCTGATTCATCCCAAATGCATCCACTGCATTTTCCTTAATTTCCGTTGTTTCTTGTTTCGCTTGATTTTTATTCTTGGACTTCTTTTGCCCCCTAGACTTTTTACTACTCTTACTACTTTCAGATGAAGAGCCCTCGACTAATGCATCCACTTTTGTCCCTTTTGGAACCCCTTTTGGTGCTGCCGACGGAACCCTCATCTTTTCCTTAGCCGGGGGTGGAACATACCTCTTGTCAATGTCCCTAATTCGCTCGTATTTCCTCAGAATATGCTCTAATTCCCCAATATTTTCAACCTCGAAATTCGACACATACCTACGATAATCAGGTGTTAACCCTCGAAAAACCACACGCAAAAATTTCCTAGCAGAAATAGGATGCCTAAAATGATCGGCTATTGTGCGCAGACTCATAATATAAGTTGAAATTCTTTCTCCTTTAGCCTGAGTCCGAGCTTTAAGCTCGTCCCAAAGGTCCTCATCATCGAGAACACTGGAGAATTCTCTCAAGAACGCCTTTTTAAATTGTTTCCACGAAACAATCTCGTTCCTAGTCAACCTATACCAACGACTGGCTGCCCCACGCAACGCCGAAGGAACCGCCTTAAGAATTTCTTGACCAGAGAGATCATAGCATGAAATGCAATCCCCTAGTCGCTCTAAAAATTCTTCTGGGTCCTCCTTTTCGCCCGCCGAAAATTTAATTTCCCAGTCCTTAAACGTTTTTGTTAAGTTCGAACTAGACCCATGGTGGTGGTGATGATGGCCCTTTTTTGACCTATTTACCGTTTTCCTAGAGTCCAGACTCGCCTCTGACTCAGAGTCACTGGACAACTGCCACGTTGAAAGCCTAGTTTTGCGTAAAGAACTATTTTTACGCCCTTGGGACTGTTTCCTACTTCTTTTCTTCCTAACCTCATCCCAGCTATCGCTTTCCGTATCCATCCCTACTGGAGTTGGAAGACCTCCTGCTCGTCTTCCCCACTCCTCTGCTTCAGGAGGAGTAAGCACCCTTTTAATATCTTTATTAAAAGAAGATATTCTCTTATGGTGCCCACCCGGAAAACTATTAACAACCTCATCGCTTGGGTCAAAATTAGATTCAGCCTGATAAGCCCTACTCCTTTGAGAGTAATAACCTGCCGATTCTACTCTAGGGACATGTGGCTCCCACTGTGTCCCACTATCGGACCGATTTATTTGGGGCCGTTTGGGTATTGTCCCAGTTCCCCCAATTTGTTGTTGGGAAATAACCCCAGGACCCGCATTTTGCTGTTGGGGAATAGCCTCGAAACCCGCATTTTGTTGCTCCGAAATTACCCCAGAACCTCCACTAGGTTCCGAATTTCCCGAATTTTGGGGAGACACCACCCTATCAGAAACCGATTCAAGTGTCTGGGCCACTGCATTAACTGGGGGGTGTAACCAATTAACCTCTACGTTTCTATTTTGGGCAAAAATAGCTCCCAAATCCGGATGGAAATGCATCCTAGCATCTACCTGACTAACTCTCCAACTACTCGGTGTAATCATTGGAGAGGTGACGCCACCTACTGCCGAACTCCAAACCACATTCGTTGCGGCCCTCCCGCTCGAATTCGATGTTGTGGTCACCACTGAGTTGTCCACTGACGTCACACAAGTCGTGACAGTGCTACTGCTGGCCGAAGCTACTTCGGCACTTTCTAACTGCTGTTCTCTCTCAAAACCCAAAAAGTAATCATCATTACTCGATAAAACCTGAGAATCTAGTTCCCCTAACAGGTTGCCCTCATGTGCACTTAAATCAATGGCCGCATCCTGTTCTGTTTCATAACCCGAGTAATCAACCGTTCTTGCCCTGCGAGGTGCAAGTGCCTCGCTCAAGAAAACTCTCTGAGAATCCGCCGCATCATACATTTCCAACCACGGAACCGAAATTATCCCCGCTAAAATTTCCTTGGTCCTGAATCGCAATAAGCGTTCCCGTAGTATCTGGATTGAACCCTTTGTACTACAATTAGCCCTAACCAAATCCTGAACCAAATCATTAACGGGGGTTCTTTGAATTTCCCTCCAAATGACCCTAGCTTGCCGACTTTCCAAAATTTTGAGCATATGCTTTTGATACGAATCCATATTTGATACGTTTATCCAAAAGTGCAAAATTTCAATAAATAGATCCACAATAAATCCAAACAATTAATTAACAAAATTAATTTGTCAATCAATTTAAAATTTTTTTAACACACTAAAAACCAAAATAATATTCAAATAAAATTTCCAAACCCAAAAGCCAATTTGTAAATTGTCACTTAAAACAAATCTAAATCCTCATGGATTTACCCAATTTGTTTTGACCTTTACGACCCCTCGTCGTGCCAAACCCAAATTATTTATTCGCTAAATCCACAAAAAAAATTATTGTTCATCAATTAACCATCAATTTGCCATATAAAAATTAAATATCAATTTTTTTCAACAAATGATAAAATGATAAACAACCCAAAAATGTTTAGTGACACTTAACCACAATTTGGAAATTTTTACACTAAAACAAAAACCAAAATTTTATGCTATAACACAAATTAAAAAAAAATAAAATTTACACTTGAAAAATTTTCAAAGCCTCGAAAACTTTATTTTTGAGAAAAATAATAAATAAAAAACAATTATTTTCCCACAAAATAGCATAAAATAAAAATCCAAACACAAAAAATAATCACAAAAAATTTCACTCGAAATTCGGATTAAAATAATAAAAATTTTCAATAATTAAAATTTTTGTTCAAAATTAAAACCACAATATGGCCGCCAGTAACGCTCAAAATTTTCCTACGGCCCAAAATCGCCGTCATGTAAAATTTTTCCCTCGTTTGTTGGCAACCTCGTCCCTGGATTCAATTTTCCAGAATTTATAAAAATTATTTTAACCCAAATAATACACAAACACAAAAAATATTTTACAAATTAACACCATAAACGCGACAAAAACCTAAAAAAAAATATTTGACAAAAATACTTGTTGAATTTTAATTAATGTTCATTAATTAAAATGGCCGGGAAACAATTTCGAAAAATCAACCTTTCCTTCCGACGCAATAGTATTGACCACCAATACTCAATCGGCGTCTCTTGCCATGTGCTCGGTGCACTTGCACTCAACCATTGCTTCCTCGAAAATTTGTCAAATTTCCCAAGTTTCCCGAATTTTATTTCCGCCAAAAAATATTTTTCCCAATAAAAATAAAAATCCACTCATCAATTTGCCACAAAATAAAAATAATCACTCGCGAGAATTTCGAGAAAAATCCACCAGAAAGTTCAACTTTTTGAACCAACAGCCAAAGTATTGACCTCACAATACCAACTCAACACGACAAACACTATGTCAATACTTTTACGGACAAAAAATAATCCGTTCGATTTTTCCCAATTTATTTTATCAATTAATTTCGTGCCACGTTCCCAAATAATTTGCCATTAACCTTTAAAATCACTGCCAAAAAAAAATTGTTTATTACACTGGAATTACCGAAAAATTAGCCTCACAGAAAAATAATTGTCCCAACTTCGACATTTTTCAAGTTTGCTTTTCGCGCCTATCCAAAATGTCTGCCCATATTTCACGAGCACATGTTTTCAGATAAATTTTTCAAACCAACTTTATCACTTAAAATAATCCCAAATATGGCCAATTCGACCATCACTCAAACCCAAAAAATTCAGTGTCCAAACACAAACCTCTCAGCCTCCAAAAATATTATTTATAAAGCCATAAAATACAAATATAAACCATGTCGCCTTGTCTCTCAGTCCAACGCTTTGCCCCACGTTGGGCGCCAAATTTGTGACAGATATTATTTAATAAACAATTAAACTGCATCAACTGCACAATTCATTTCAAATAACAAAATAACCTCAGGGGAAATTCCGCCCCGGAACCAAACCGACGGATGCGACGACGGCGAGACAGAACGACAGGCTTTCAAAAATTAACTTGGACTTACCAAAATCAAACGACGGCAGCAATAATGAGACGACACAAAACACAACAAATAATAATAATTAAACTTGTAATTAACTAATACTCTAAATTTATTAATCGGTATTTACACTTGGAACTTAACGATTTTGACTAAAAGGCAATTAATTATCAATTGACGCGAATATTACTTTGATTCAACTTGTATCAACTCTCATGACAAAAACTAATATGATAATGATGCCGGCCGGCTTCCTCTCGCGACGCTCCCTCGAAGATCCAACAGACGAACTCCTAAACCGCTTCACCCATTGGACGCTGGAACCACCGCACAAAACGAAACCCAAAACCTCCGGCCCAATCACGAAAGACCCGCGAATATTCAAAATGAATATTAAACTTAAATAACCAAAAGGGAAAATCATAACGAAATGCTTCGTTACAGTTTATTATAACTAATTCGATAACATTCTGATTATTATTTTATTACTTAATAGTTATAATAATAATTTGTTAATTAATATTTTATTTAACAATAAACTGGATAATTTGTTCAAACATTCTATTAATTAATAAAACAAATAATCAAAATTGTTATTTAATAATTTCGGACTTTAATATTTTAACTGTTCAACAATTAATTCTAATTGTTGTTAATTGTCTATTGTTAATTATTTGTTTATAATATTCGAAACATCAAAATTAACTAATTAATTTATGTCGATTTTTATATACCTAGTTAGAAATATTTTTAATTTGTTAAAAACAATTATTTTGTTAATAATTTTTATTGTTAATTAGTAATAATTAATTAATTTGACATTTTGAATCTTATTAACATTATTTAAATTTAAACAGAATATATTTTAAAAGAATTTAATATTATTTTCATGAAAACATATTTTGATGAAGTTGTGTAAAAAGGGACTGTTGTAAATAATAAGGTTCATCTTAAAGGAATTTTATCTTCCTTTTAGCGGTATAGACTAAAAGAACATAGTTTCAAGAAATCTCTATTTGTGTGTGGAGACGAAGATAGTATACTCTGAGATTAAAACTCAAAATTTTAGAGTATTGATTTTTAGGCTTATAACTATCTTCTCTCAGTTTAGATATTTTCTTCAAAATATGTCTTTGTATAAAATACAGAAATTTCTAATATTTAAAATATGACGTCATTATTACAGGACGTTACAAATATGAAATCCAATTTAAAATATTTTTTTTAAAAACTGTCTTTTTTTAATTTTAAGAAAAAAAATTCAATTTTTCCTTTTAAGGCCGGATTAAAAAAAAATTTGTTCTCAAAAAATAGCATTTTTTAAGTACTTTAAAACTACTTGTTATTAAAAATGGGATATGCATATTTTAAAGGTCAAATTTGAGTTTTTCTACTTAAAAATTATTTAATTAACTGTATTTTATCAAATTTATGCTGGGAAAGGACTAGTCATATTTTTCTTGTGTACAAATTTAAAGCACAAATAAAAACTATCTTTTTATCAGCGAAAAAATTTTTTTAGTAGTTTTTATTTAAAAAATGGGAACCTTTTTTAATTTTAGAAAAGTTTTAATAACAAATAGGTTAGTTGAACCAAACAAGTGAAAACGCATATTCTCTATTCCAATAATTGATTCTAACATAACTAAAATAGGTGTTGTAAGCAAAATAATAATTTTTTAAGTAGAAAAACTCAAATTTGGCCTTTAAAATGTGCAGATCAAATTTTCATTAATAAGTGGTTTTAAAGTACGTAAAAAATGCTATTTTTTGAGAAAAAAAAATTTTTTTAGTCCGGCCTTAAAAGGAAAAATTGATTTTTTTTCTTAAAATTAAAAAAAGACACTTTTTTAAAAAAATATTTTAAATTGGATTTCATATTCTTAAAGTTGAGGAAAAAACCTTTTCAAAAATATATAATAAAAGTTCAATTGGATTAAATTTATAAAAGTTATTTAAAAACGAAGTTTAATGATAAAGCATGAAAGTAAAAAATTCGTGCTCCTGAATCTTAGAAACGCATCCCTGTAGAGTCCCATCGTTTAGTAATTAAGTGTAGGTCAATCAGGACTACCATTTGGGAAAGTATCAACCCGATCCCAAAAATTTTTTTTTTTAGGTGGGAACAGTTGAGGAATTTTGCCCCATTTATGAAAATTATTAAATTCTTGCAACAAATTTTATTACATTTTTTTGTCATTTGTTTTTATTGTGACCTTGGGTCCAAAAATTTGAAGGTGTTAAATAAATTTAGTACTTATTACTTTGTTTCATCGAATGCATTTTCACTGTGAACACAGCTCATCAGGACTACAGAAAATATAAAATAGTTGTGTAAATAGGATTGTATAATTAAAATTATGAATATAAAAGCAATATTATGTGTGGATTAGACTTATTACATTTTTCAATGATATGGATTTATAAAATTAAAAAAATTGAAATTATTAAACAAAGTCGATGAAACAAAGTAATAAGTACTAAATTTATTTAACACCTTCTTCAAATTTTTGGACCCAAGGCCACAATAAAAACAAATTTATTTGACAAAAATGAAGGTCCTGAAAAAATTCTAAGTTATTACATTTTTTAAAAATAATTGAATTCTTTTGAGAAATTTTATTAAAATAGTATATTTTGAAAATATTTGAATTTCTGCGAAGAATTTGATTAAATTCTTCGCTGAAATATTTGTGAAATGTAATTGAATTCTTGGAAAAAATTTTTGGAAATAGTTACATTTTTTGAGGAATTTATTTAAAACTGTATTAAAAATAATTGAAATCCTGTGAAAAATTTTATTATTTATGAAAATAATTGAATTCTTGCAACGAATTTTATTACATTTTTTAAAATAATTAAATTGATGTGATTTTTCACATCAATTTAATTATTTAAAAAAATGTCGAAGGATTTTATTAAAATTTTTGTAAATACAGTCGGGCCGCAGAACTGTACGGTACCCCAGAAATAACCCCTCCACTTGATTTCAAACTGTACGCTGACGAACTCATCCCCACTATTTAATTTTCAGGACTGTACACTTATATATTTAAGGAGCAAGTTTTCAAAAGTTGATAAATATATTTTTTTTTAAATCGAGATAAACATAAATTTAATAATCTAAATATCTCACAAATCGTCATGTCCCTGTTAAATTTAAAAAAAAATTTATTAACAGCGAATTTTCAATTTAAAAACTTTTTGACATAACCAAATTGACTTTTAATTTTTATGTTTGTTATTAGAACAAATTACCAAAACCTTAAAGTTACTTTATTATGTGAAAGTTTTATTAAAAACAGAACGTATTAAATATAAAAACTTTGTTACAAATATTAAATATTACAAATTTTTTAGTTTGAAATTAACTGAGTGGTTATGTCAGGAAAGTCATTTATTTCGATTTCTCAAAATAATAAGAAAATAGGAATTTATCAAATTTTGAAAATTTGCTCCTCATTTATCGTCTGGGACTATAATATACATAATTTTAGATTTAAAATTAATTGAAATCATAAAAATATATACTATTCTTAAAATTATAAATGTTAGAAAAATTAACAATTTTTAACCAAAATGTATTGCCTCATAAAATTAAAAGAAGTCCACTGATTTATCCAAATTATGAAAAAGAAAATAATTTGATTAAATCAGTAAAATTTTTAATTTTAAGGAAGAATTTGATAAACAATCGGAACAAAAGTTAGTCCAATGTCATAATTTAGTATTTTAAAAAAAAGTCAAATTAAATTTTCAATTCCTTTTGGTAAAAGCGTAAGGAATTTAATTTTCTAAATTTTGAAAATTTTAAATATATATTTGAATAAAAATGATAATTTTGTCGTCAATAATGAATGATTTAAGTAACATAACCTAAAATTTAACAAATGTTTATTCTTATTGACAGAAAATTATAATTTTCATTCAAATGAAACTTTTAATCGTTTTAAATATTCAAAATTAAATTCTTCGCCTTTCCAACAAGACGAATTTAAAATTTAATTAGTTTTTATTAAATTACGAAATTATGACATTGGAATAACTTTTTATTTGACTGTCCCTCAGATTCTTCCTTAAAAGGCAACATTTTCAAATATACGGCACTGAATTTAGTAGCGCCACCGTACACTGTGGAGCACTTAAAAACTAAAGCCAGCGTACAGTTTGGTGACAGCGTACAGTTTGAAAGCGTTCAGTTCGGAGGCCCGACTGTAATTCAATTTTTTTGAAAAATTTTATGGAAATTTAAATTATTATAAAATATGAAGATGTCATTCACACATGCTTGATATCTGCATGTTTTATAATAATACACGGAAAAAAGTAATTCAATAATAGTTCCTAATTCGTTCCGAAATTGAGGATATGAGCAAAAGTCGGTAATTATTATAGAGCTGTTATTTGGAAGAAATGTCGAACTTTCAAAATAGATATCCAGGAATTATATAGTAAGAACTCGGTATTTATGTGATAGTTTTTACGAAATGTAGCGGCTGAGTATTTCAGATAGTCTGGACGGTAGAACTTCCGATGAGTTCGGGAAAAATTCAGAGGGTCGCTTCATATATGAAGAAGCTCTTATAAGGGCTACAGAAAAGTTCCGGAACAATTCCGTAGCAAAGAAAATAAAAAAAAGAAGTTGTGTATACGCGTATATACTTGATCGACATTCGTCAAGCAAGGCGAACTGTGATTGGTTGAGGAGGATACACACACATACATACATACATACATACATAATACACTTATAGCTACCTACATATATTCTAACGCACACATAATTTATACACAAATAAACGCAAATACACGACGCATTGAATCGCACGCTGGTTGTAGGGACCTGGGAAGTCTCTTATATACTAGACTTTACTTTTATTCAGCGCTTGTGAGAAACGGGGTCGGCACATCTTTTCTTTCGATGAAGTTCGGGAATTATTATGAAATTTAAACTGGAGTTCTCCTTGATTAGACGCTTGTAAATACTATTTTAGAAGAAATATAATTTCTACGACAAAATTTCGATAATATTATAGACCAGTCCTGTATTTCTCCAGGAATTTATTTACAATGCTGATTTTGAAAGTCTCACAAAAACCGTTTCGTAATTAGTTCGGAACGATTCAGATATACTTACATTAAATTTCTAAAAATTTCTGGAACTTTGCACAAATCCTCAATTATGGAACAAATTCAGGAATTCTTACAGAATTTATTTTTTCCGTGTATTCTTAAAATTTTTTTAATTTCAAAATATTTAAATTTGAAATTTTTGAAAATTTTAATTCCTATGGGAAAATAATAATGATTAAATATTTATTTTAAATTAAACTATTGATGTTTTCGTATAATTTTACA